AAAAAGGAGTGATATAAATAATAAAAGAGTATAAGTAGCAATTTTTAACTTTGAATCATCTGGGAAGAAAGAAAAAGAGAGAAAAGGGCTCATTTCAATAGTTACTATAATGGGTTGGCAGAAAAACATGCAAGTGACAGGTACCTCTGCTATATATTGTATCAAAGGAAGTGTACACTTCATGGTATTTAATTTGATAATCAAGATATCATATATAAATCCATTTGAGAGGGCTAGCAAAGTTATGGTCTTGCATGAATTAGATATACCTCCTCAATTAGAGTAGCTAAGCAATATAGATATAAATCCAAGCTCCACTCAATTTTCTCCATGAGAGAGATAACACTTTATAGTGGGAGATGGGAAGGTGCATGCTACCATGGAAGATTAGGAGGCTTTCCACCATGTGAGACCAATTTCATGTGTCTCAATCCATCACTTTATGTCTCGATGCATGTTTTTTCAATCCATTCCATGTGAGTGAAAGTAAACTTGGGTTTGAACTCTGAACCCCAATATGTGCCATTTTTCATCATTAACTACTATCATTACTAGTTAGTGCAATGGTAAAAAAAGTTCAAAAAAATGTCGTGAAAATGAAAAAAAAAATGTTAATTATAGATTGTATTTCAAAATTACCGTCAAGGAACTTATAAGTAAAATTGTCCTCAACAATTTAACTGAAAAATTAAAAACAAAATTAATCAGTCATTTCCAACAGATTAATTCTACACAAACTGTTAGCACAAAATTCTTTCTGTAATAGTTAATCATATATACAGGAAGAAATATTGCGTTACTAGAGAAAAATGTTGACAATGTACTATTTTTAATATATTTTTTATTGTTGACAAAAAATTTATGAAAAATTAAAATAAATATGATTCACTTAATTTTTATATTTTTTTAACAAATTTTAATAAATAATAAAAAATGTGTTACAAAGAGAGTTACTAACATTACTCTTGTTATAAACAACACAATATAATCTAAGTAATTAATACATACAATGAGTCAAAGCATTGTTAACTACATTTACACACTTAAACCCATCCACTTTGCTCTAACAGTCAATAACAATGTCGTTGTTTATTTTTTAAAATTTAATTTTATATGGCATTGTAGAAAATTATACATTTAAAAAAATTAATTATAACATTATAAGTTTAAATTTATTAAATCATATATTAATACATTAATTATTGAGATGTTAAAATTGGTTAGTATGTATGAAACTCAAATATGAAAAAAAATAAATGCTTATAAAATTTTATATTTCACATTAAATATCACAAAGTATTTTTGAAAATGTGATAGACGAGAGACAGGAGGATGTAACAAATAAACAAAATGTTCATCGTAAAAAATGAGCAATCAAAGAAGAATTTTGTTTTGGTCGAGGGCAGGAAGACGGCAAACAATGAAGGAAATGAAAACAGTATAAAAGTTGCAGGGAGAAAAAGACCATTATACACTATTAGGCTTGGACCTTAAATTGCCACCCAATGATTTTTATTATCAAGGGTTAAGGCTTGGACCTCAAAATTTCTTACGTTGATATTTGAATGACAAAAGCATTGACAAACATGTAATCGTTGAAAGAAAAATCAACTAATCATTATTTATGAACGAAAAAAGTTTGGATATATTTCTTTAATTATGAGTAACTAAACTTGTGGCTATAACTATGAGAACTCTTATTTATGATTTTATGAGATTTTATAATTAAATTTAGATTTGATTTCTACTGTGATTAGTGTTTCTTCTATTAAGTTTGATTGTGTGTTGTGAACTAACCACCCGTAACATAATTTTAATTAATTATATCGTTAGGCGACTATATTTTGATTAATTAATAGATTTATAGGATAAAATGAGACAAATGATTAAGTAAATCAAACTAATTTTTCTCTTTCAATTGTTATTAGATTAACAAGTTCATAGGTTCTCCATGCTTCTCAGGGTTGATATCTTACATAATTATTGGGAGTGTTAATTTCAAGAAAATAATATTAACATTACATGATCATTGGGTATTACTAGCAACAGTATGAATGATTAATAATTAAATGGATATCAAATTTAGAGTTAATTAGATAAAGAATGTAAATAATTGAATGCATGAACTCATATGCCCTGAGTTTTTTTCCTATAACTTTCCCTAAAGCGTGTGTTATGATCTTTAGTTGAGATTTGGCAATTACTATTTCAATTCCTTTAATTTTAAATGCTCAATTTCGCATCCTTTACATTCAACTAATTGAGTTAAAAAAATTTTAGTAATTAAAAGATAATTCTCGTAGAACGATAATTTAAAAATTTAATTTGTAAACTCTTTTATTATTTTTCAATTGATATACTTACCTTCCGAATAATGTATCAAATTAAATTTAATTGTTATTTTTAACATTAAATATGTCACAAAAATAAAGATGAATCTAACGTCAGAATTTGATGCAAACAAATAATTCCAATAATACTATATTTCAACCAAAATTATTATTTCTTTAAGTGAAAGAACTTCAAAACTTAAACACTATATTGAGCATTTTATTCTATTTAATATAAAATTTATAATTAAAAAATTAATGTTACAGCCATTTAAATAAAGTAAAAACATTGGAAAAATCATAAATTTAAACAAGTTAATAATATTAATTAATCTCATTTTTTAAGATAGTTAGTTTATGGACTATGCACTTTAAAATACTTTCCTTTTATTTATTTATTTATTTTTAAATTACATATATTAAGTCAAATGACATTTTAATTATATCAAACTAGTTTTAAATTATGAAAAGAAAAAAAAAACAACTCGTAACAAATTCAAGCTTTCAAAGCAATTCGACATCGTCATGTTAAAATACCTTTTTGCTTGTCCACCACTACAGCTTTCGATTAAGAATTTTAGTAATTTTAAATTATTTTAGAAAAACGAATTTATTTTTAAGAATATCAATATCACATAAGTTATTAATATTAGTCTAAATTTGTTTATAACTCTTTAAAAATATTAAAATAAAATTGATATAACAGTAGTCTAAAATATGTTTTAATCAAATAATTTCAATTTTTGATTTAATCGATTTTTACCTTATTCGGTTTTAAGATAAATTACACTTCTCCTCCATAATTGAAAGATATTTGTTACATATGAGTGTATTTTTTAAAAAATATTTTTTTATTTTATTTCTCTTATGTTACTTTTCTATATCATTGATAGCTATTTTTAATATCTATTACCATTTATGTGAGATTATATTTTTTTGGCAATTTTTTAAAGTCAATAATAGAAGTATTTGAAACTTAATTTTTTCTTACATTCTAAAATATTAAAATTAAATTATATATTTTGCTAGTAAAAAAATACAATATCGTTGGAAAGTATATTCATAATTGTTTAATATTTTAAAGATGTTTTTTTAATATTAAAAATGATCAAAATGTAACTTATGTGTTTTTCAAAAGAAAGAAATGCATATTAAGCTTATCTAAAAAAGAAGATTAAATTAGATTATAGAAATTTTTAAAAATTAATTTGAAATTCATTTTTTAGTTTTACTTTAGTTATAATTAATATGCTTAATTTTGATAACTTGTTGTTTAAAAAAAAATTTAATAGTTCAATTGAGATCTACCATCTCAAAATTTATCTAATAGATAAGAAAAATGTAATGGAATTATGATATATCTTTGTATATATTTACAAAGAAAAAATACAAAAAAAAAGTAACATGTCTTAAACTTTTTTGTTTAAGTATTTATTTAAAATATTCCTGTTTAATTTAAAAAACAAAAATCACATACAAATTAAAAAATAAAAACAAAAAATAAATGAAGCATTCACTTATTGATGTAATCAATTTTTATTTTTTATTGGTTCAGTTTGAACTTCATTTAGAATCTAGCATCGTTCGAGCAAAACGAAAGAAAGGAAGCAATGGCCTTTATTGTATAATTAATAGAACATAAATGAGAAGGAGAAAAGGAAAAGGGGGAAAGAGCGAAGTGGAAAACGAAATCCGATCCCAATCCCCATTCTCGTCTTCCTTCCTCCGCCGTCACCTATCTTCGTCGGAATCATTTGGTCGCCTCTCAATTGACGACAAAAAATGGTAATTCACTCTCTCTTTCTTTCTTCATCCAATTTGAATTTCTTGTCAATTAATTATCGATAGAACTTCTCTCCAGTCATTGGAAATGGAGGAGAATAGGTTACAATAAGAGTAATATAAACATTTATTTTATTTTATTTTATTGTTGGTCTATATTAGAATAATAGATTAGAAATGTTGTTATTCTGAAAAGATTAATGAAATAAGTTAAAAAGAGTTTATAATAATTATATTTTTAAATACTTTCTTAATTATTAACTAAATTTTTTACTCACAATAAAATTTGTACTAAATAGAAGACTGATAACTTTATAGACTTATCATATTTGTTTGTTAAACAAATGCTAAAATTGAAATAAAAAACAATTAAACGTATTTTTTATATTTCAAAATTTAATTCTTTTTTTTATTTAAATTATTTTATATTTTAAAAATATTAGTTTTAATTTTTATTACTGGTAAATAGTAATGTGACTAATTTATATATTACTATATGTTAAATTTTGTGTTAATAATGTAAAAAAATAAAATAAAAAATAATTTTAGTGTCCAGAAGTAAAATTAGTAAAAAATTTAAAATATTTAAGTAAAAAAAATTAATCCTATTTTCTTATGTAGAGCAAACAATTATCATTATTTTATTCTTTATTATTATTTTTATATATTTGAACCATGCAGCAAAATTCACATTTCACAGTCACGTGACATGCACGCCGTCCATTCTCTCTTTCTTTCTTTATCTTTCCCGCCCTCAGAAAAATTAATCCTGCGCCACCTTTCAAATTTCCCTTGACATTCCCACTTTTTTTCTCGGGAAAAAGGGTGGCCAGAAAATAACCCACGGAGCGAGAATTGTTCGTTCAATTCAACAACACACCGCAAGCGATGGTGGACGGTGGCGACTTCGCCGGCACCATTTGTTCGATCTGCTACGAACCTCTCAAGCCCATTAACGAAGACCTTCAATCTATCTCCATCTGCGGCCATGTCTTCCACGAGCTCTGGTAATTTCTCACAACCCATTTCCGTTTTCCTCCGTCAATCGAACTAAACGCCGTTAAAGTTCCGTTCTTTACCTTCGTTTCCATTTGGGGGTGTTATGTGCAGCCTGCAACAATGGTTCGAGTACTGCTCGAGATCGAAGAAGCACACTTGCCCCGTTTGCAAGCAGAGCTGCAAGGCCAGCAATGCGTGCAGGCTTTATTTTCAATCAGTTGGAGATGTGAGTGATGGTATTGTTCCTCCGAAGAGCGTTGATTTGGAGGAAGATGTTGGGGTTCTGCGCAGGGAAGTGAAGAGATTGGAGGTGCAAGTCTCGGGGCTTAGTTCCATGTTGGAACGCCAAACAAAAGAATTAGAAGGACTTAACGAGGAGGTATTTGCGTTTTTGTTAAACATCTAGATAAGCAGTTTAATTAAGCATTACTGGATGATTTTTGTATCATATAAGTGCTTATGGCATAAATTTTATTATGAAACTTATTAAAATAAGTTAAACATATCTTATTTTTATATGTTATACTAAGAATATTGTTGAAATAAATTTAAAAAGCTTAAGAGAGTCGTAAGTGACTTGTATGTTCTTCCAAATGTCCCGTGAGTGTGCGGCACTTGTTCAGAATTTTTGCTGGATTGTTAAACTTTTGAATGGTTTGTTGGTTGTTTGGTTACTGATAATTCCTGGGTGGAAAGGGTGCTGAGAATTTGTCACTGTCTATTAATTTATGCTTTACAAGTACATGTAAGGAACGAGAAGGTTGAGGTTTTGTTTTGAAGGGAATTGTTCATTGTAAATTGCACTGCACAGGCGATTTTTACTATAGGTCAATGAATAGCTGCACAACTGGTTAAATTTCTGATGATTAGAAATGCAGAAAGAAATTCAAGATTCATACTTTTCCTGTGACTTGTTATTTTAGGCTGTAATTGAACAGATTAAAGAACCATGATATGTTGATGCTTGGGCATATGGATTGGCAGAGGAATGAGTGGGTTAGTAAAGTGAAGGAATTCAGATCTTGCTCCATGTTTTGTTTAATACTATGTGCATTGTTATGGTCGGATTAATTATTAGTTCAGTTGTGTCAAACACTTAATCCTTGAGGGTCAATTACTATTAATTGGTGTCATATCTCCATAAAAGTTCTAATGCTTGTTCCAAATAACAGCAACAAAAACTAAAATTTGTCTTTTATATTTATTAGTATAAGTAAATTTTTCTTAAAAAATTGTTCTGTTAATGCTATTGATTTCTCATGGCTATTGAACGAGTCTGCTTTCAGCTTTGTGCTTGCAAGGAGCAAGGTAAGATAGAAACAGCATTAAAGAATGAGGCCTTGAGTCAAAAGGCATCCATACAATTCCAGCTACGTATGAAATCAGAGGTGAATTACTCTGTAGCCTTCTGTTTTATTTGTGATAAAGCTACTATTGACAGCCTGAATTAAGCTGTAATGATTTCATATTGACTTAGGAGCTTGAAAAGTCAACTCTGGAATGTTTTAGATTACAAGATAGGAATATGGCTTTGGCAAAAGAACTTGCATCATTGAAATTGTGAGTGGAATTGGATTTTGATTGAGTACCTACGTTGTATTTATGGTATAATATTTATTTGCTAAGTTGGTTTATGGCCTACTTTGTAGGGTGTCTGATCTGGACCTTGATGAAGATGAAGTTTTAAAGCTTGCCACTTTGGGTAACGGGGCCAATAGTAAAGATACAATAGACACATTGAAAAGATCTCTGGTCTTGCGGAACAGGTTTATCCTCCAAATCTTAATTGTTGACCTTGAGCTAGGTTGAAAAAGTTGTTCGGTATTGGATTTTCTGAAATTTGAAACCTGCGAATAAGAAATACAAAGTATGTTTTTATTGAAAATTATAGAATTCAATACATTCATATTAATAAATACTACAATTTTCAATAAAAATTCACTTCTTATTGATGCAATTTTCACTGATTAGAAAAATTGTGTGTATTTGGGCTTTTACTTGTGATTGTGACACTATTCTGTATACTGTAGGCACAAAAATTCATGTTTAGCCCTTAAAATTCTCCATGGTTGCCTCACTTTTTTATGCCTTGCCTGGAATGTAAATTGTAATTGTACCTGTTTTGATAGGAGTTACAAAGAATTAATGGCCAAGTGCAATGATTTGGGAAGAGGTGAGTCTCGTTACAGCAAAAAGCTTGAAAAGGCTAAAGAGAAGATCACTAAACTGAAGGTAAGTACATGATGTGCTTGCTAGTTGATAATCTCATCAGTAGCAGTTTCTTATGAATATTAACTGTTAGTGTTTTCTTCGCTTTATTAGGTGAGGGTACAAGAACTGGAAACATCTGCTGTAGAGAAAGAGAATGAATATCAGATATCTCTGAAACTTTCAAAGAAAGCAAGGCGTTCAAAGAATATTGAAAGTAACATGAATTGTAATTCTGATGTATTGACAACTTGCAAATATTCATCAAAAGAGCAAAGCATAGATATATCAACACCCAAATCTGGAAGGGATCTGACTGCAAATGATGACAATAATTTTTTACAATCTTTGAAGATAGAGAGCTCCAATGCTGCTGAAAGTAAGATTGTAAATATTAGTAATGCAAGTAAAACTACATTGTCTCTTGATAATGGGAGAGACTATATCGTAATTGATGAAGATGCCTCAGAATGCACTAAAGCTTTTCAAGGGCATCAAAAACACAACTTTGGTGATCATGAGAGGGATGATATTGCTTGTAGCAAGCCTTCTCTAGCAAAGCCAGAAACAGTGTCTGGCATAAAGACTGAAACATGGCAGGGAAAATGTAATTTTGCTGAGTCTTCAAGAGTTGATATTGACATTGACACGGCTAACATTTCAGCTGGTGCTATGGATGAAGATGTGACTTTACCGGCCAACATTAAACAAGTTCAACCCATCGTTAACATTATAAAGGAGTCACCATTAACACATTCAAATTCAGGTATGCTGCTAGTTGAGTTTTGAAATATGAATTTTTTAAATTTAAAAAGGTAGATAATGTAGATGATTTACTGAAGAAAAATTAAGGTTGACATTTTCTTTCTCCATCTGAAGCTCCAGTGGACATCTGCTTTTCTGGTGGATTGCTTGGTCCTGATGGAACACATCGATACTTGGGTAAATGGTGCAAACGTGGACAAAACAATGAATCAACATCTAAACGTTCAACGAATGGGGATTTGATAACTGTTGGGGCAGATGGTAGGGGTGGCAGAATAAAGGTTCTAAGGACTTCTAGCCAAATCTTGTCGGTGAGTTCTGTACTCTTGAAGTGTTTTAATTTTAATGGAGTGAATGTGTAAAATTTTTTGGCCTAAATGTTTTCTATAACTGTTCCAACGATGAGCTTGTTATCTTTGAACTTTTCAATGACCAATATATATTTTTGTTACTGTAGAAAATGAAGATTTACATCCCACGCTTTTTCCCCCTTTTCTCTGGTAGTGTCTGTTTACCTAGAGTATGGATTTTATTATGAATTACACTTACAAAAAGTTTGATAAATGATTGTTAACCTATTTTCCTCATTCTTTGTATTATAAGAGCATGAGAATTACTCAGTAACTATTTTTATGTACTGTAATCTTGATTAACTGTAAAACTAGTTGTAGTTGGTTGTTGACTATATTTGGTAGTTTGTTGATAAATATTTGGGCAAATTACACTCACTTCTTGAGATATAGTTAAACTATAACTGATACCCCTCTCTATTTTGACATTACTCTAACCTCTTCAATTCATATAAATAAAAGAACTCAAGAAGGGAGGCTATGTAAAAGAGGGATACTGAGTGTGATTTTGTTAAACCTTAGGGAGTGCACTTTTCTTTTAGTATTTTACAACTTATCAAAGGTATTATAGCAACTTTCTTGGGGCATATTTGAGCATTAATTTGCTGATACTGACTTCAAAAGTTTGTCTTTCAGGATGGTAAGGATTATTCAGTAAGTTCAAAAAGGTCGAAGTTTGCATCCAAAACAAGTAGTCTGCAATCCAAGGGGTGCCTGCAGATAGAACACTTTTTTGGGAGAGTCAGTCAGTAATTTATTGTTCTGTGTCCTGGCTTGGTTGTGATGTCCTTGTTACAATTATCAAAGGAATACATACTTTGTCACGGAAGAGAAACGATAGAAGTTCAAAGAAATTCATTTTTTTGGGAAGTTTCACTTTGAATACTGAGCTTTGGGAATTTGGCTAAACTTGTAGCAAAACCTATTGATTGATTCCTTGGCTTCAGGATACCAAATAGCAAAGTGGTGCTTTCTCTATTTCTCTCTATTTCTCAATTCAGGTTCTATCTTTACCCAAATTCTACCCCCGTGTGAAATAATGCAATGTAAATGAGGCTAGACCTGGTTAGAGAAACAAGTTATTGATATCTTTCGACCGTGAAGATAGATTGACCGCCAAACATTCTTAGAAGAACTTCAATATACCTTGTAGTAATGGGTCTACAAGTTCATTCTTTGAATTCATTTTTCAATATACCGACAAGTGTATGTTTAGATATGCATCATAAACCTGTAAATGTGTGCCGAATTTCTGGATGTTAATGTATAGGGTTGAAAAAAGTTTACGTCCCAAGGTATACAAACATGGAATCAAACACATTGAAAGTTAATCCAAAAGATTGGGATGAAATTTGCATGCGTGCTTTGGAATATGGACAACTAATTGAAAGTATGTCTTACTTTCCATACTCATTAAGGATTGGGTTGTTGCATTTGTGGTTTCAACATGGTGTTACGGTATGTGCATGGTTTAGGGCTTGTGCCTTTCATGTAGGGGTTATTTTTCGACTTACTGAACTTTCATCTACGAGTTCATATGCAACGAATGATTTCTGGTCCAATAATTGTATGCATCCCATCTTGATATTATTGTTTCATTTATTGTATGGGTTGATCACGTAGATGCCTTCTCCTCTTCCCCCCCCCCCCCCCCCCAAAATATTAATTAAAATATATTTTCTTCAAAATAAATTTTAGTTCTTTCTCTTTTCAAGTTTTATCTGGAGTCCTACAATTTTCTTAATTATTTTTTATCAAATTTGTACCAAAATTTTCGCATTAAAATTATTTTGTCTTGAATTCATAATAAATTTATGGAGATTTTGAATAACAAAATATCATTGAATTGAATTAGGCAGAGTTAACAGGTAGATGATGAAGCCTAGTGGATCGTACTATTACATAACAAAATAAACAATGATTATTTGTCAGCATGTGAATCAATCAATACAAGATTTTTTAATGTATTAATTTTAAATATGTAACAACATTAAATACTACAGTTCACTCTTCCGGAGGGGAGACTAACTTGGAAGAATACTTACTGCTGTGGAAATTAAGAAAACAGTTGATAGCTTGGGCATCTTGGCACTTCTTGTCCTGGTCAATGATCATTTTCACCACTAACACTGGGACATTATCAAGGAGGTGGTGTGCAAAACAATTATCAAGTTTTAGTTTTTCACTGACACCGTTTGATTTGACAAAGAAATAAAAGAAAAATAATTAAAATAAAAAAGTGATAAAAAAATATTTAAGTTATTTAACAAAAATGAAATAAAATTATCTCTATGTAGAAACATGATGGAACCAAATTATAAGTAAGGCATGTGCTTCTTACTGTGCTCAAGCCCAATGGCATGGTAACCAAGTGGAGAAGAACAAAGCAAAAAATAACTGACCTGATGTAGAATATTGGCAACGAGAAGGAAATAATTTATCAAACCAAAATCTTATCTTCATATCCATTAAATGGCTGGTAAGTAGGTAGAGGAATGAGAGAGCAGGAAGAAAAGAAAAAAAAAGAAATTAGAGAGAGAAAATATAAAAATATGAGATGCAATAAATAACGAATTGAAAGAGAAATAATAGAAAGAAAAGAGAGATGAAATATATATAAAAAAATAGGTTTAAAATATAATAATTGTTTATTTAATTAGACACGATGTTCATTGTCGGGTTGACTGCTGTATAGTCTGTAGGTAGGAGACTAGGAGTGCCAACAACAGTGGCTTAACATAAACATGATATATCAGAATCGACATTGTTTTAACTTAACTCGTTATTGAATTCGAATGGTAATAAATATAGTTACGTAAAATATTTGGAGTGGGAGTAATATTCAGTTCAAATAGAATTGTTTTTCTATGGAGTACACTTCTATTTTTCAAAAAATAAACATAATATAAGAATATCATAACGAAGAAATAGTTTCAACAAAATACCAACTTTGTAATTTTATTTTATATAGAAGATAAATAATTTTATTTTTTATCTTTATTTTTAATTAAAAGAAGAAAAATTAAAATCAGTAATAAAATATAATAGAAGAAATTCTATAAAAATATACTATTTTCATACTTCTTATCCTAAACCCTAAATATGTCATAAAACTTTTATCAGTTCAAATAAAAAAAATAAAATATCACTTCAAACCATTCTTCTTAGTTTCAATAACTTTCACCAAGTCAAACATTAACTTAAAGCAATTTCAAATGTACTGCCCTATTTTTTTTTTATTTTGTTCATCAACTTTCAATTGGCAATGAGTTAAAGGGACAGGTGATGGTATTGGCCTAATCCTCCATCTTCACTCTTCATCTCATCCTCCGTAGTCTCTCATTAATTCAATTTGAGTTTTGCTTAAGTCCATTTAATTTGTTAGGATTAGACACATTCATAGAGAGACTAATATGTGGGCCAATTTGTGAGTTAAGCTTGATCTTAAAGAGATGTCTTTGTATATTACGTTTTTTACTGTTTCTATTTTTCTTCTTTTTTTAATTTGGATGCTAGTGGTGCTTGGCATCCTAGAATTGTGGTCTCAGTTTTGTTTGGCTGGATCTCTCCGTTTACTATAAAAAAAAAAAGAGAGAGACTAGTGATGATACTTGCCAAACATTAATAAAAAGGATTCAAAATCATCTTTTTAATATAATATTTAAATTCTGTAACATCTATATTTATTTATTTCAACACCTTAATTAGTTTTTTGCATTATTTAATAATTTTTTTAATAATTTTCACATATTTTAAAAGGTTATAAAAGTATGAAATTTTTATTACAACCTACATCAAAGAAGGCTAAGACGTTGAGTTTAAAAGATAAAAAAATTATGTTAAACAATTAATCATGTTTTTAGATATTTTAAAAGAAAGTCAAATTTGCATTTCTGCATATTTTAAATGTATTCATTTTATATAACTTGGTTGGATCAAATTGAGTTGAGACTTGACATGTTTTAATATAACCCATAACTGATTTCTTGGATCCGTTCTTCACCAGAAATGCTTGTAAGGTAGACGAAACTTTCTAGATATGTTGATCAAATTCTTAGGTCTTCAGCATAAAGCACGTGCTTAATTGTACTGAGAAAATACACTTTATTGAACCTTTTACCACAAATTAAATATTAGTGACTAACGTAGCACCGCATATCGAAGAGAAAATGAGTTCCTTCTACTTAAGCTAAGTTCAGCGAACCAACTTTAGTTCCATTATTTTATGGTGTGAACATTGCTATGATGACTAACGTATATTCTTATGAGACATGATTCTCCAATTAAACTTTTTAGATAAATTACATAAGAAAAAATAGGTCAGAGACAAAACCAAAAGGTTTTAATTTAGACAGCTATAAAAGTTTTTATAAGGTTGTCTTCTTAATTGACACTAACAAAAATGATTTATAACTACAAGGTTTAAAAATATTAATCACATGTACAAATTTTCCCATGCACAAATTTATGTAGACCAGCAACAATTATAAATTACGACCGAAATTTAATCTTGCTAAATCTAAGCTTGACAACACATCTTGATATCTGCCTTTGAAAAAGGTAAAAAATGAGCTACAAGAAACATTCTAGATACGTTGATCAAATTCTGTGTGTTCTACAAGAAGCACATGCTTGATTGTACTAAAAACATATACTTTATTTAACTTTTTACGACATAAATTAAATATTAGTTAGTAGAGTAACTTGGCATATTGAAAAGAACAGAGCTCCTTCTAAGCTAAGTTCAGTGAACCAACTCTATTCTCATTTACTTTATGTTGTGAACATTGTTAGGGTGACTAACTTGTTCTTGTGAGACAGTCTTCCTCCATTAAACATTTTATATTAATTTAGATAGAACGAAAAGGTTTTAATTTTGACAGCTATAAATGTTTTTACAAGGTTGTGTTATTGACACTAACTAAATTTTTTTATAATCTACAAGGTTTAAAAATTTTAGTCACTTGTCCCCCACCCCATTAAAAGAAAGAAAAATGATAATAATATGGTACTATGATGAAAGGCATCAAAAGTTAATACTGGATCCAATTTGAATAAATATTTTAAAAAATACAATGTATTTTTTTAATAAGTTAAAATTAATTTGTATGTTTTAAGTTTTTTTTAAAGAAGTTAAATGAGATTTTAATTTTAATAACATTTCTATTTAATTTCATGTTACATATGAAAAAAAGGAAGAATAAAAAAAGATTAGTCTTAAGAAATCTATTTAATGGAACAAGATAGAATGTTATATATGATAACTGTATTTTTAAGTTTCATTTGAGACGTTAAATATATTTTTTTTTTTGTATGTATTTTTTGAGTTTAGAAATATTTTTTCTTACCTAGACTTTCAAAAAGGGAAAGGGTGAAATAATAATATGTTGGTAACGTTTAGTTTGTGTTATTAATGAAATAAAATGTTTTTATTTTTTTAAAACATGTCGTACACAAGTTTTTAATTTTCATAAAGTAAATTAAATTTATAAAATTTAAAAATAGTATATGTTTTTTATATTATATTATTTTATGTATTATCTATATATATAAATATTTAAATCATACAAAATTTTATATACACAATTTTAGGATAATATATAAAGTAATTTTTTAAGTATGTATTAAAGATATATAATAATTTTTAATTGAAAATATTATTAAGTTATTATTACGTGTTGTGAAATACACGTTAAAAAAAATTATATATGAAGTTTTCGAAGTTTTCACTGTTATGAATTCTGTTTACCGTA